AACCAAGATGTCTGCAGAGTGGGGTTGCTAAGTTGTGTTAATCTGTTCCCTCGTTCATTCAATACACATGAGCAGGTCTGGTGTGCCAGGCTTCATTCTATATGTAGGGGCTCATCAAAAAACGGAGGTTTTGCCGGGCGGTGGTGGCGCACGCCTTTAATCCCAGCACTCGGGAGACAGAGCCAGGTGGATCTCTGTGAGTTCGAGGCCAGCCTGGGCTACCAAGAGAGCTCCAGGAAAGGCGCAAAGCTACACAGAGAAACTATGTCTTGAAAAACAAACAAACAAACAAACAAACAAACAAACAAAAAAGAAATGTAGGTTTTACCTCAAAACAGACGCTGGGTTAAAAGCCTCTATATGGAATAAGGACAGGAGTTTGACAGAGAGAACAGCCTTTAAATTGAATGGGGGCGCTTTTAATATATTTCTGCCTCATCCTCTGAGGCCACCTACCCTTGGAGATCTCATTAGATGTCACTGGTTTAAAAGCAGTTATGGGGAGGGGGAGGGGCCCTGCCCTCCCAGAGTGAGTGCACACAGTAGTGGCAGAGACAGATCCTAAGGAAATAAGCAAGAGAGCTTCGGACAGCAAAATGTACTAGAGAACAATAGGCTCTCAACCTGGGGGTTGCAACCCCTGTGACCATCAGAAAACAGTTATTTTCAATACGATTCATAACTAGCAGAGTGAAAGTTCTGAAGTACGGTTGGGGAGCATGACATGAGGAACTGATTTAGAGTCCCAGCATTCAGATGCCCGAGAGCACTGTCTTAAAGCCTCGCCTATTTTCAGTTCATCCTCTCACTTTCATGCCTGCTGTCGAGGATGTGAGCTCTCAGCTTCCTGCTCTGGCAGCCACGCTCCTTGTTGCCACGCCTCCCCATCATGATTGACTCTTATCCCTCTGGAACTCTAAGCCCACATAAACTCTTCCTTCTATAATTGCCTTCATCGTGGGTTTTATCACAACAACATAGAAGTAACTAATATATTCCCAAAGGCTCGTATCCATTTCATAGAGGAACAGGCATCCTGCCCATCTTTAAGGGTCTCTATAGTCTTACAGTGATGCTCACAAGTCTAAGCCCAGTTGTCTCCGAGGTTCAAGGCAATCTTTTTTTCTAAGATGTATTTATTTATTATGTATAGTGTTCTGTCTGCATGTATGCCTGTACACCAGAAGAGGGCACCAGATCTCCTTACAGATGGTTGTGAGCCACCATGTGGGTGCTGGGAATTGAACTCAGGACCTCTGGAGGAGCAGCCGGTGTTCTTGACCTCTGAGCCATCTCTCTAGCCCCAGTTCAAGGCAATCTTTTAGGTATGAGGCTTTGCAAAAATTAAAAATAACAAAGTTACTCCCGGTGATGGTGGAGCACACATTTAATCCCAGCACAGAAGCAGAGGCAGGTGGATCCCTATGAGTTTGAAGCCAGCTTGGTCTACAGAGCAAGATCCAGGACAGCCAGGGCTACATAGAGAAACCCTGTCTCAAACCAAACCAAACCAAAGGTGTGTGTGTCTGTGTGGTATACACAAATGAATGTGCAGGTGTGTGAACATGTGGAGGTCATAGCAGAACATTAGGGGGTTTCTTCTATTGCTTTTTGTCTCACTGAACCAGAAGCTCCACTTCTAGCTAGGATGACTGGCCAGCAAGCTCTTGGGATATGCCTGTCTTGTGCCCCGCCTCCTCCAACGCTGGGGATCTAGGCACAGGCAGCCATGCATGCCTGGCTTTTGTTTTTTTGTTTTTTTGGTTTTTCAAGACAGGGTTTCTCTGTGTAGTTTTGGTGCCTGTCCTGGATCTCGCTCTGTAGCCCAGGCTGGCCTCGAACTCACAGAGATCCACCTGGCTCTGCCTCCCGAGCGCTGGGATTAAAGGCGTGTGCCACCACCACCAGGCTCATGCCCGGTTTTTTACACAGATGTTGGGGAATCAAACTCGGATCCTCATGCTTGCAAAGCCAAGTATTCTTATCCACTGAGCATTATCTCCAGCCCCTCCCCATAACTGCTTTTATACCAGAGACATCTAATGAGATCGCCAAGGGTAGGGGGCCTCAGAGGATGAGGCAGAAATATATTAAAAACGCCCCCATTTAACTTAAAGGCTGTTCTTATTCTACATAGAGGCTTTTAACCCAGAGTCTGTTTTGAGGTAAAACCTATGTTGCATACACATTTAAGATTTGATGCTAACCTTTTTGTTTTTCTATTGGGGTTGAGGAATAGACTAAGGACCTCTCTGTCTTGCTTAACCAACTACTCTATCGATATACTTGTTGTGGAACAATCTTTGTATACTGTAAATATGTATTGTTCTCATTGTTAATAAAAAGCTGATTGGCTGATGGCTAGGTAGGATTTTGGGGGCAGAGAGAATGCTGGGAAGAAGGAGGGCAGAGTCAGAGGAATCATAAGTCAGACAAAAAGGAAATAGGACATAAAGGAGAGGTAAAAGCCCAGAGCCGCAGGGCAGCACATAGATTAATAAAAGTGGGTTAATTTAAGTTGTAAGAGCTAGTTAGTAACAAGCCTGAGCTATCGGCCAAACATTTATAATTAATAAGTCTCCAAGTAGTTATTTGGGAAGTGGCTGATAGAACAGAGCTGATTGTGGTCCCAACAAAAAAAAACCCCACCTATATAATACTCCTAGCCCCTAAGACTGTTTCTGACAGCAGAGCATTTCCACAGAGCTCCAGCTAGACAGTTGAAGAGCAGAGTCCCTCAAATCATAGATCCAGGGCATAGGCCCAGCATGCCGTAGATGAACAAGCAATAAAATGAGTGTGTTCAGTGCATCAAGACTGCAGACTCCCACACCAGTGGGGAAGGCTCAACTCACAACAGGGGCATTGCGAAAGCCCTTGATAGCCTGGAAGACTCCACCACCAATGACACCCATAGTGAAGGCTCCACCGCAATCGTCCACAATTCGCCATGGGCTGCAAGCAGGAAGGAAAAGATTGGGTTAATGTGAGACGCTGCCCTGCCAGGCTGGGACTCTTTGGAACTTGGAGAGCCAAAATGGGAAGTTCATGACTGAAAAGAAACATCTAAGATAATAACAAATTAGTTCTGACAGTTTTTATAAATCCATAAAGCCAGAAAGGAAAGCCAGGCATGGTCCTACATATCTATAATCACAATACTTGGGAAGCAGAGGCAGGAGAATCACCAGCTGGAGTCCAACCTGGGCTATAAATGGAGATTCTGACCCAAAAAGAAAGTTTGTGTAGCCAGGCAGTGGCGGTGCATACTTTTTATCCCAGCACTTGGGAGGCAGAAACTGACAGATCTGAGTTCAAGGCCAGCCTGGTCTACAAAGCGAGTTCCAGGACAGCCTAGGATACACAAGAGAAATCCTGTATATATATATATATATATATATATATATATATATA